ATCTCTAATGTTTTCTTTGTTCCAGATTTGAAGACAAACTTGCTAAGTATGGGTCAGTTGCAAGAAAAGGGATACGAGATTTCAATAAAAAATGGAGAATGCCTAATCCAAGATGCAAATCTTGGGTTAATTGCTCGTGTCAAAATGACTGGAAACCGTATGTTTCCGCTTTATCTTCGCAAAGCTGCTCACGCCTGCTTCTCAACAAAGATCAAAGACACCGCATGGCTGTGGCATTTTCGTTATGGCCACTTGAGTTTCAGTGGATTGAAGACATTGTTGGAGAAAAATATGGTCAGTGGCATTCCTAACTTCTCTACCCCTTCTCAACTTTGTGAAGAGTGTGTTGTTAGCAAACAACCACGTACCCCGTTTCCTCAGAAGACATCATGGAGAGCCAAGAAGGTATTAGAGTTAATACACTCAGACATTTGTAGTCCAATAAAGCCATCATCTAATGGAGGTAATAGATATATTATCACTTTCATTGATGATTTTAGTCGGAAAATCTGGGTGTATTTTCTGAAAGAAAAATCAGATGCTTTTAGTGCATTTAAAAATTTTAAAGCACTTGTCGAGAAGGAGAAAGGCTGCCCAATCAAGGTTCTTCGCACAGATCGTGGAGGCGAATATCTATATAAGGAATTCATGGCATACTGTGAAAAAGAGGGGATCAAAAGACAGTTGACAACATCATTTTCACCTGAGCAAAATGGTGTTAGTGAGCGGAAAAATTGCACTATATTAGACATGGTGCGAAGTCTTCTGTGGAGAAGTTATGTTCCAAAGAGTTTCTGGCCAGAAGCAGTCAATTGGGTTGTCCATATCTTGAACAGAAGCCCTACTCTTTCTGTTCAAAATATGACACCAGAAGAAGCATGGAGTGGACAATCACCGTCTGTAGATCACTTCAGAATATTTGGGTGCATTGCCTACGCTCATATTCCCAACCAAAAGAGGACTAAACTAGATGATAAAGCAGAGAAGTGTGTCTTTCTTGGTGTAAGTGCCCATTCAAAGGCTTACAAGCTTTACAATCCCATAGCTAGAAAGATTATTATCAATCGAGATGTGGTTTTCGATGAAGACAGATTCTGGCCATGGGATGAAAATCATGTTGAGCAGCAAGTTTCTGTCAACATCGATGAAAATGATGAAGGTGCACAGGAGTACCAATCTGCAGAGAATGACCAGCAAATTCCAGTTAGCTCAAATATTATTCCTGATTCATCCACAACAACTGGAACAGAGCATCCTCAGCGAACTAGAAGAAGACCAGCATGGATGGCTGATTATGAGGTAACTGGGGATGACCAAGGAGAGGATCCACTTACTCATTTTGTATTGTTTTCAGATTGTGACCCTACTACATTTGAAGAAGCTGCAAATGATCCAAAATGGCAGAATGCAATGAGAGAGGAGATTGCAGCCATTGAACGGAACAATACATGGGAACTTACTGATCTTCCAGAAGGGCACAAAACA